TATCTTAGTGCACAGACTATAAAACATTTTGCTCCTGGAATCCTACTGATAATGGAGATACTCCTAGCCTAAGGGTGAAGGGTGTGGCTTAGCCATAGAGCCCTTGTTTACCATATATAAGGCCCTGGTTTCTATCCCCAGCTCAAGAAGAAAAACCAAATCCTCTGTTCCAGTGGACCTCAGTCACACTGTAGTTTGTATTCTGAGAGAACCCGGCAGCAGCAGTCCATCGCTATCTCTTAACCCTGCAGTTCTCCCCGTGTCAACCCTGCTGGGCAGCTCACAGAAAGACCTGTTTGTATAAATTAAGTATATGACTGGCTCCAAGGTTGAGGGGAAAGTTTATATTGTAGATATGTGGGAAAGCACAGCTAGAGGCACCTGGAAGAGTCCAGAGCAGGGAGACAAAGTCGTACCCTCAACATGACCAGCAGACTGGACTTGGTCACAGGGCGGGGATGGGGTTGAGTTGGCAAGAGAGGTGGACCAAGAGAGTGTGGGCCTGACAGAAACAGTAGGGTTATAAGGGAAAGGAGGAGCTGGAGGAGGGAGGGAGTTGGAGGGGTTTAGGGTAAGGGGCAGGGTGAGCAGAGTTCTGAGAGCCACAGGTCCAGGTGGTGCTGAGCTAGCCTGGAGGCCAGCAGGAGCTTTGCTAACAGGCACCACAGCTGGTCTTTTGTTTCTTTTGGACCTGATACTGTTCCCGGCTTTACACAACGAACTTTGCTTTGACCCTACACTCCCGTTTAACAAAATAGTTACATAAAAGCCACATTTTCCAAATCTTCTGTCTCCCTCTGATTAAGGAACCAGCCCCAGGGATCCCACTGTGTTTTCCTCCCTCAAGCTTCCAGTCAATAAAAGGCAAGTTTGGAACTCTGAGACAGCTCAGCAGGTAAAAGTGTTTGCCTCCAAGCTGGAGGGCCCGAGTCCCATCCTGAGCCCCCTACCCGCAGCGGAAGAAGGGCCAAGTCTCCCGTGCTATCTTCCAACCTCCACACTTTTGGTGCGGAACAAATACATCCCACACCCAAAACTTAAAACCTCCATTGCTGAAGTCCTTGGCATCTCTGGGGGCTTTCTTCACAGAAGAGGCTCCGAGAACCATTCAGACATGGCTATGCTTAGAAATTTGAATGGGACAAGAAGAAGGAAGCCAGGGGGCTACCGAGAGGCATGTGAAAGAATAGAGGACAGGACCATGGATATCTAACAGTGAAATACAGACATGCCCAGGCGGTCGTGGCACACACCTTTAATCCCAGCACTTGGGAGGCAGAGGCAGGCAGATCTCAGTGAGTTTGAGGCCAGCCTGATCTACACAGCGAATTCCGGGACAGTCAGGGCTATACAGAGAAACCCTGTCTCAAAACAAAACAAACAAAACAACAGCAAAAAAGAAATAGAGCCATACAGGTACACTTAACTGCAGAAGATTGTGAAAAGCCAGGCATGGGAGCTGAGGCCCATAGTCTCTGCAAGCGGGACACAACGGTGGGATGACCATGAAATTCTGTTATTGTTTGTTTTTGAGACAAATTCTCTCTGTATAGTTTTGGATGTCCTGGAACTCACTCTGTAGACCAGGCTGGCCACGAACTCACAGAGATTCACCTGCCTCTACCTCCCGAGTGCTGGAATTAAAGACATGGGCCACCATGCCCAGCTTTGTATTGATTCTGAGGTCAGCTTGGTGACAATATGAGACTCTATCTCAAAAACACAACAAGATCATGAGAGTTGGATAAAGAGTGGCAAGCAGTGAGGGAAGTAATATGGAACCAGGGAGGGGGAAGAAGAAGTAGCCCAAGAGGAAGAGGCAGGGAATGCTGCTCAGTCTTCCAGACACTCCTGAAATCCCTCACTTACCTAGCCCAAGCTCGAAGAAGCTATGACTCAGAAGAGAGTCACCAGGCCAATTGGAGAGGGACACAGTGCATACAGTCAGGAGGTACTAGGATTGTGGAAGCCCAGGAGAGAGAGGGGCCAGGAAATCAGGCCCCTTAGGCCTAGCTGAAGAGCCCAACTATCCCTACTGCTTTAGCAGGACTTTGGATCCCTGTCCCCATAGGGAATCCCTGGCCTGCCACACTCTGCTAAATTCTACCTGAACCACACCCGCAGTCCCTCACTGGGAGATTCTAGGTAGGGGTTCTACCACTGAGCCACACCCCTAGCCCCTCACTGGGGGATTCTAGACAGGGGCTCTACCACTGAGCCATACCCCAGACCCTCATTGGGGAATTCTAGGCAGGGGCTCTACCACTGAGCCACACCCCAACCCTCCTTCTACTGTTTAAATCCCTGCCCTACTTCCTCGCTGTGTCTGGACTCCTTCCTAAGCCCTTTGACCCTGACTTCTACTTTCCCCCACCATTCCCCTCAGTATGGAAAGCTTCTGGCTGGTTACCTACACAATGCAAACGTGTAAACATCTGTATGGAAAGCGCTGTTCTTGCCTTGGACAAACAAGATGGGTAATCTGTCCATCTTAATGTCTAGAAGACAGATACACAGTGGGGCAGTGGGGAGGGGCAGAGATGACAAAGGAGTGGAGGGGAGAGTTGCCAGGGAAGACTTCTGCCTTGGTGACTTCTGAGCTGAGACCTTTGAGAGGGAATCAGATAAGCAAATGGGGAAAGGAAGATCAGAGGGTGCAAAACCCTAAGTTACTGAGGTAGGACAGGCCACAGCATGCATAAGAACCAGAGGTGAGCCAGACACTGGGGAATGATGCTACCTGACGTGGGGAGATGCGTAAGTACACCATCCCTCTTTTTTTTTTTTTTTTTTGAAGACAGGGTTTCTCTGTAGCTTTGGAGCCTGTCCTGGAACTTGTTCTGTAGACCAGGCTGGCTTCGAGCTCACAGAGATCCACCTGCCTCTGCCTCCCGAGTGCTGGGATTGAAGGTGTGCGTCACCACGGCCAAGAGGTCCTTCCTTCTTGAGGTCTGCTCATCTGTTGCTTGTTGTAAAATGGCACAAGTAAAACCCTGATGTGTCCCATAGCAGGTGAGTACCCCATGAGAGAGACCTCTGCAGCGTCCCACAGCCAGTAAGTCCAAACCATGGTGGGTCACAAAAACGCCATGCAGACAGAGTTTGATTGTGGAATTTATTTGAGATAAAGGGGATGGGAAGGGAAGAGAGAATGGAAGAGACAGAGAGGGGGGAAGAGAGAGAGACAGAAAGCTATCTCCTTGGGGGCTGGAGAGATGGCTCAGTGGTTAAGAGCTTTGCCTGCTCTTCCAAAGGTCCTGGGTTCAATTCCCAGCAACCATATTGTGGCTCACAGCCATCTGTAATGAGTCTTGGTACCCTCTTCTGGCCTGTACTATATACATAATAAATAAATAAATAAATAAATAAGAAAGCTACCTCCTCAGAGAATGACAGAAAAGAAGAGAGAGTGGGCAGAGCTTGTCTCTTAAAGGGACCTTTGTGCCTGGGTACAGACTAGGATCCTGGGCTGGCTAGGGTACAGCCTGGGTACATTCTGTCAAATGACAGGGCAGGCCAGCGTAATGCCTGAATCCTAACACTGTTCCCAAGACAGTTTGACCTCATTGGGCCTAATTTAATGCACCACAGGAAACAAAACACTGGAACTGCAAGATGCCTCAGTGGGTAACGGAGCCATGCCTCAAAGCCTGGATGCTTGCATTCAATCCCCAGAACCCACTAATAGAATCACCTCCTACAAGTTGTCCTCTGACCTCCAAATACAAATGCTACAGACACACATAAAGCATGAGCATATGACTAACAAATGTAATTTTTTAAAATATTGGTACAGGGGCTGGAGAGAGGAGAGCCCAGTCCTCAACAGCACTAGCTGGGACAGGTCAAGGCAGTGCAAGCCTTTTATTCAAGCACTGGGGAGGATCTCTGTGCGTTAGAAATCGGAGGTCACTGGCCTACATAAGGAGTTCCAGGACAGTCAGAGCCACCTAGAGAGACCCTGTCCCCCCAAAACAAACGACAATACAAACAAAACAAAATGCTTGCTGGTTTTCCAGAGGACCAGAGTTTGGCTTCCAGCACCCGTATCACATGGTTTACAATTACCAGTGTCTCCAGTCTTACAGTATCTGATACCCTTTCCTGACCTCTGCACACATGTGGCCTGAACACATTCACATAAATAGAAATAAAATAAATCTTAAAAAATATTGGCGCTGGGTGTGGTGGCTCATGTCTTTAATCCCAGCACTCAGGAGACAGAGGCAAAAGCCAGGCAGGGTGTCGCATCTCTTTAATATTGTCATGTATTTTTTAAAATGATTTGTTCATTTTTTATGTGCATTGGTATTTTGCCTGCATGTATGTCTGTATGAAGGTGTCAGATCCCTAGAGGTAGAGTACAGGCAACTATAAACTGACATGAGGGTGCTGAGAATTAAACCCAGGTCCTCTGGAGGAATAGGCAGTGCTCTTAACTACTGAGTCATTTCTCTGGCCTCTCACATCTTTACTCTCAGCACTACTAGGCAGAGTCAGGTGGATCTCTGTGAGTTTAAGGCCAGCCTGGTCTACAGAGTAAGTTCCAGGACAGCCAGAGCTACATAGTGAGACCCTATCTAAAAACAAAACAAAACAAAACAAAACAAAACAAAACAAAAAATCCAAAGACATTGATTGGACACTTAGGATTTGTAAATACTTACCATTGATAATTCAGTACCAAGAGACCTCAAATTCCTAGATGAAGACACTGAGACCCAGAAATGTGAAGTTACTTACTAATGGTCACACAATTAGAAAGTGCCAGAGTCCAGTCCAAACCTCCTGTGGCTCCCAGGACTGGTCAGACCCTGTGGGTTATACGGTTGAAGGCACAATAGTGCAGAGGACTTTTATGAGTCAAGCCAGTGCTGGGCAGGATATTGCCCGTCACTGCCTGGAAGAAGGCCAAGCACTCCGAGTCACCCTTGGCCTGGCACTCCTGTACCACCCAGGTTAGGGAAGGGAGGCAAGTAGCACCAGATCCAGGGCGTGGCTTTAGTCACCCAGTAGTGAAGGGTGCCTAAAGTTCTATGCAAATACTTTTGGGTGTCAGCCAGGTCACTGAGCCAAGAGTCCTGCCCACTACCCTTTCTGGAAGAAATAGCCAGCCTTTCTGTAAACACTTGGAGGAGTGGAACCGAATGGACCTGGAGCTTTTGAAACTGCTCCCAGAAGTTGAGCTTAGACTGTCTATGGAATTCTCAATACAAGGCCAGAGAGACTGCTCACTTGGTAAAAGGCAGCTGCTGTCAAGTTTGAAGAACTGAATTCGATCCCTGGGACCCACATGGTGGAAAATAAAACCTGAGTCCCACAAGTTGTCCTCTGACCTCCACACTCAAACACATCCACATACAACAGATAGTAAGTAAATGTAATAAACTTTTGAAAGTAAATAACAGGGACATTAACAAAAAGAAGCAGGGCGTGGCTGTGCACGTCCGTCTCAGCACTTGGGAAGCAAAGATTTGAGGGTCACCAGTTCAAGGTCATTCTCGGTTATGTAGGGAGTTCGAGGCTAGCCTGGGCTCAAAAAGAAAAAAAAAAAACCGGAGGGATGTGTATGCAGTCAGTCACCGTAGGCCTTACACCGTCCCAACTGTGTACTTTCCTAGGGTTCTTTGGCCGATGACTTCGCGCTTGCTCAGGAACTTGCCAGCTGGGTGGTATACATCCACCTCCTCCTTCCACCGCGTCTTGCCCACTGCAACCTCTAGCTGGCTGTGACTGCGCATGCGTACCGACGCCCCCTCCAGCCCCGGGTGGGAGGAGGAGATGGTGGGAGGAGGTTGGGCCCCGCGGCTTGCCTGGCTCCTTGTTTCCCTATCTCCTTCCCTCGGGCGGCGGCGTCTCCCGGCGCTCACAGGGCGGTGCAGACCCGAGGGTTGCAAGGTAGCACTCAAGGGTTAGCCGAGACGGGAGGGTTCCGGAGCCCCACCCCTGGGGAGAGGCCTCCTGGCAGGTGAGGAGGGCAGAGCAAGGTCCCAGTCCCCTGCAGATAGATTGGGGGTAGGACACTAGGACCCCTCCGCGGACGGTAGACTTAAGTCCGGGTGCCCTGGTTCTTGAGGAGTGCATGCGATGCCAGATGTTCGGGACTCCCTCCAGTGAAAAGTCCATTCCTTTCGTCTTTTTCTCCAGGTCTCCCTATCCTACGAGGTTCCCAGTTCTACACCAGGAATGCGATTTAGCGACCAGAAGGACAGGGTGGACACAGCATCCATGGACTGAGACTAAAGGCAGGGTAAAGCCCCCTTTTCCACTTGAAATCCCTGCCACTGCACCCAGAGGGCCCACCTCTGGGACAGTGTGGCCAAAGGCGCGCCCATGGAGCTCAAAGACCCGCCTCTGGGCTTGGAAGGCACGGCCTCTGACTGCTGTGATGCTTTTTGTATAGCCCCGCCCCTCCCAGGTTTAGCGGCCCCGCCCACTCCAAAATAGACTCCAACCCTCACCCAGCAAAGAAATGATCCCTTGGTTTGATTTGCTTATCTCCTCCCAGGGTGCGCTTAGGCTCCATCTTCCAGCCCCGCTGCTCGTTTGAATCAAGATCAGACTTAATCAAAACCCTGGTCCTAACTGACTTTCTGATTTTAGGCCCCCACCCCGTCTCTGTGAATTTGGTATTCACCGGCGTCACCCCCACCCTCTTAACTGCTACCCCTGGGTTCCTCTGACAGCAAGATGCTCGGTGGAAATGTGAAATCCGAGGCCACTTGCCAGGACCCGGTGACCAAAGGAGGTGAGAGCAGCCCGAGTTGTATGTAGGGATCATTCCCCAGGATTGACAGCTGAGAAGAACCTGTTAGGACGATTCGGAATTACCCACACACCCGCCCAGCGCTCAGGCGCAACAGGTTGCAAAGGATTTTACCCTCACCCGCCAATCTGGCTGGACCTTCCATTTGCTGGGGCTCAGGAAATTACAGGAGGTGCATAGGGAATAATGTGGGGTTATGGGTAGAACTGGCAATGAATACTTTACTAAATTTCAGGACCAGAATTGGCAACTCTCTGAGATAGAACGTGGGGTGAGAGGGCAAACAGATGTGATCCTTAATGGGACTCCACTGTGACACTTGCCTGCTCAGACACTTTGAGATGCCCCTCTGGTATTAAGATAATGGCAGAGCCCGGCGTGGTAGCGCAGGTCCCTAGTCTCAGCACTCAGGAGGCAGAGACAGGGAGATCTCTGAGATTGGGGCCAATTTGATCTACAGAGAGAGTTCCAGGACAGCTAGGGCTGCATAGTGAGGCCCTGTTTCAGAAAGCGTGGAGAGGGGAGACAGAGCCTGGCCTGGGCCCAGGGCGTGCCTATTAGTAGAAGCTCACCAACTCTCACGTCCCCTAGTCCCCCACCAGGACTTACCCAGCCAGCCCACCGCATCTGGGAGCGTGCCCTCCGGGCCCCGCCGGCGGCCCCCACCCCAGCGCCCGCACCGCTGTCCGGACTGCCCCAAGGCTTTCTCGTACCCATCCAAGCTGGCCACGCACCGACTAGCGCACGGCGGCACCCGCCCGCACCCGTGTCCCGACTGCCCCAAGGCGTTCTCCTACCCGTCCAAGCTGGCCGCGCACCGCCTCACGCACAGCGGAGCTCGCCCGCACTCCTGCCCGCACTGCCCCAAGGCCTTCGGCCACCGCTCCAAGCTGGCGGCGCATCTTTGGACCCACGCACCTGCCCGCCCCTACCCATGCCCCGATTGCCCCAAGTCCTTCTGCTACCCCTCCAAACTGGCGGCCCACCGCCACACGCACCACGCCACCGACGCCCGCCCCTACCCTTGTCCACACTGCCCCAAAGCGTTCTCGTTTCCCTCCAAACTGGCGGCTCACCGCCTGTGTCACGAACCCCCGACTGCGCCCAGCAGCCAGACCACTGGCCACCACCGATGCTCCATTTGTGACCAGGCCTTTGGCCAGAGACGCCTCCTGTTGGTTCATCAACGCAGCCACCACCAGTCCGAGGGCCAGGGAGAGAGGGAGTGAGCTGTCGGTCCAGCCGCCCATCTGCCTCCACCAGTGTCAATAAAGACCTGAATTTCTAAGCCCTGTTTTACCGTGTGGCGTTCCCTCTAACAGGGAGAAAGACAGGGGCTTCATACATGTAGCGCAAGTTGGTCTGGAACTCTCCATCCTCTTGTTTTGGCCTTCCAAATCCCGGGTTCCAGTTATGTATGCCATCTCTTGGGATTGGCTATCCTGGAATCGGTTTAGATGGTTGGGAAAAATTCTATTCGTGTGGAAAGGCAGGTGTTATCCGATTGGCACTGGATTCAAACCTCGAGCCTGGTGATAGGGGCCCCTCCTGCTCCCCTATACACACACATACACACACACACACAAACACACACACACACACACACACACACACACACACACACACACAATTTGAATGGCAAAGGTAAAAAGCCTGATAGCATCTTGGGTTGGTGAGGCACACAGGCTCTTTGTTTACTGCTGAAAGTAACTCGGTGCCTCTGCCTTGACCATAAGGCATTTACAGCACACACTTATGGCTGGGATTTATCCTGTACACTCTAGCCTGTGATAAAGGCATAAGAGAACAGCACTGTGGTGTGGCCACACTGGGAGCAGGCCATCACATACCCTCTACCAGGGATCAGGAATCAGAGGGGAATGTGTGGCTGTAGGAAAGAGGCCCACACTGTGTTTACTAAGTGCTCTGAGCACAGGAGGGGACAGAGGCCAAAACAAAGGACAGACCACCACCAGCAGCAGCTTCTGGGAAGCTCAACGCAGGAGTGCCTCTGAATCTCTTGGGAACCTGGGACAAGATGTGTAACTTCTTCTCTGGGAGCTAGGGCTTTGTGTTTTATGTTTGTGGGATATTTGTTTTTTTGACAGGGCCTCGTGATTCCAGGCTGTCCTTGGACTTATATGGTGCTGGGGACTGAACCAGGGCTTCATGAATGCTAGGCAGGCTCACACACTTTTCAGTGGGTTGGTCTTGTTTCCTTGCATTTATACATGTGCACCATATGTGTACCTGGTGCCTGTAGAGATGAGGATGTTAGAGATGCTTGTGAGCCACCATGTGGGTCCTAGAAGAACCCTGGCCCTTTGCACAAACAAGTGCTCTTAACCACAGCACCATCTGGTAATCCACCATAAATACACCACCCTCCTTTTTGGCTACCTGTTCGGTTTTATTTTTTTTAAAACTTATGGTCTATGTAATCTTGGAATTCATTATATAGACTAGGCTGCCTTCAGTTCCAGAGACCTGCTTTCTTCTGCCTCCCAAGTGCTGGGATTGCGTGTGTGCCACCATACCTGGTTCCCTTTTTAGTGTTTTAAGATAAAGGTTATTCTGTAGCCTGGCTTAAGCTTATGGCAATCCTCCTACCACAGCCTCCTGAATGGGGATCACAGGCGTTTGCTAACACTCTTGGCATAACAAGGTTGCTGTAAACCGTGTGGAAGAGGCAGCTGTCATGCCAGGACAGGTCAGGTGGGGTCTGAAGGATGAGGGAATTGATGTTGCCTACATCTGTGTTCTGTAGATCTGCATTACACACCTACTGTGTGTTGAGCCCTGCATGTGGCACTAAGTGCACAATGGTGAAGACCCAGTCTAGAGACAGTGGACACTAATCAAGCAGTGGCCCAAAACAAAACAAAATGGGGCTAGCAAGATTGGTCAACAAGTAAGAATACTTACCTGCCGACCTGGGACCCACATGGGGTGTTCAGAGAGGATCAGCTCCTGAAAGTTGTCCTCTGAACCCCCACATGCATGCTGTGGCACATGCCCCTCCTCCACTAAATAAATAAAGCTGAGCTAGGAGTGGTGCCACACACCTGTAGTTCCAGCACTCAAGAGGCAGAGGCAGGAGGATTGCAAAAGTTCAAAGCCAGTCTGGTCTACATAGCAAGTTATAGGCCAGCCAGGGCTATAGAGTGAGGCCCTGCCTACAAATAAAATATACGAACAAGGGCTGGAGAGATGGCTCAGAGGTTAAGAGCACTGATTGTTCTTCCAGAGGTCCTGAGTTCAATTCCCAGCAACCACATGGTGGCTCACAACCATGAGATCTGGCACCCTCTTCTGGCCTGAAGGTATACATGCAGACATAATATTGTATACATAATAAATAAATAAGATCTTTAAATAAATACATAAAATATACCAACAATGCACACGCTAGGCCTGTTGGCAAGAACCAGTCTGAGTGGCTTGGAGCACTGCTTTCCAGACACTGGGGAGGTGAGAAGGCTGTGGTGGTGACATCTGTGATCTTAAATGTTCACAACCCTGTGCTTGTACTGACACATGCCAAGCCCTACCTGTCACCGGGGGTGGCAACATTTTCCTGTAAGGAGCCAGACAATTTACAGGTATCAGTTTGTCTTTCTCCATCACGAGGGTCCCAGGGATCGAACCTAGGTTGTCAGGCTTAACAGCAAGCACCTTTACCTACGGAGTCGCCTTCCTGGTTTTTGTTGTTTTGTTTGTTTTTTTTAAGAGATGAAAGGAGATGTTTTCTTGGCTAAGGTCCAGGGATTACACCATGATGTAGAAAGCATGATGGCTGAAGCAGTCAGGTTAAGTCCATGGCAGTGGAACATTCAAGACTGTAGCATGGCCTCTCAGTAAGCAAGAGCTGTTTCGGATTTTGAGATAGTTATCTCAAGCTGGTCTCAGATGTATTATGTAGCTGAAGATAACCTGGAACCTGTTTTGTTTTTTGTTTTTTTTTTGAGATAGGGTCTGACCTGAAACTTACTCTGTAGATCAAGCTGGCCTAAAATAGATCCACCTGCCTCTGCCTCCCTAAAGGTGTTTACCATCACACTTGACTCTAAGTCCTAATTTTTTTTAATACTTAGATTTTACTATTTGATGTGTATGGGTGTTTTGCCTGCATGTATGTCTGTGTGCCATGTGCATGCCTGGCACCTGTGGCAATCAGAAGAGGGTACTGAATCCTCTAGGACTGGAGTTATAGGTGGTTGTGAGTCACCATGTAGGTGCTGGAAACTGAACCTGGGTCCTCTGCAAGAGCCAGTGCTCTTAACCACTGAGCCATCTCTCCAGTTCCTAAGTTCTATTTTTTTCCAAAGATAGTATCTCACTCTGTAGCCCAGAGGCATCAAGCCTACTAAATGCCCCTAAATGCATATGCCACCTAGACCTGGGTTAAGATACAAACCTAGCTGGGCGGTTGGTGGCACACACTTTTAATTCCAGCACTTGGGAGGCAGAGACAGGCAGATCTCTATGAGTTTGAGGTGAGATCTCTATGAGAGTGAGCTTCAGGACAGGTTCGAAAGCTACAGAGAAACTCTGTCTCAAAAAACCAAAATAAAAACAAACAAAATACAAATCTAAAGAGTTAAATCCCAAAATGTTTAGATGAAAAGTATGGAAAGGAGAATTATATTAGATACCAGAAGTAAAGAAAAAATATACGCATACATATATGTGTGTATGTATATATGCACATATATATGTATGTATGTATGTATATATATATACATATATATTTTCCCCCAAGACACGCTTTCTCTGTAGCTTTGGAACCTGTCCTGGAACTAGCTCTTGTAGATCAGATTGGCTTTGAACTCAGAGATCCACCTGCCTCTGCCTTCCAAGTGGTGGGACTAAAGGCCTGCACCACTACTGCCTGGCAGAAAACATATTTGAAACCAAAAATAAGCACAAATCATGAACAAAGAGACAGATAAGCTTGACCATGAGCAGGTGTAGAGTTAAACCCACGAGGAGACTTGCCCCGTGCTCCCTGAGATTGAGGAGGTGAGGAACTAAGATCTGAATGTTCCGGAAGTGGACAGAGGAAGTGAGCAGGCTGCTGTGCCGCAAGAGGCTGAGGAAGCCTTGGAGGAGGGGTCAGGATCCTTCCTCCCAAAGCTCAGATGGCAGCAGTGCTCACACAGAAGTGAGGCACAGCAGTGCCTGTTTCACAAGGCCAGCATTTGTGAGGTGGAAAGGAGGGCCAATTCAAGGTCACCCTCAGCTACTTATGGAGTCTGACGCCAGCCTTTAGCTATGAGACTGTCTCAAAAACAAGGAAACCAAAGGTGCTGATCTGGCCCAACCTTACCTTGTACAGACAAGGTCCGAGAGGACAGTGGCAGAATAGGTGGAAGTGTGTCTCTAGGCAGCCCAATGCCCTACTTCCTCCCTGCCCCCTCCAGAACCTTTGCACCTGCTCTTTAAGGGCTCTCTGGGGGCTCTTGTGCACGTGCCTAGTCCCTGCAGAGGACCAGTACTCCTTTGACAGGTCTTACAACCCTATCTAAATGCACCCACATTGTGCCCCATTGCCTGTCACGCTGCCCCGTTTAAAGTGCACACACTGCATTTGCCACTGCCCAATGCTGCACTGCACACCTATTCCCCAGCCTCACCACTACCAAGCACACAGGCCCCATGACACCAGGGACTAGTTCTTTCTTCACTCTGTCTCCCTAGCATTTCACAGATGGGCACATGGCACACAGAATGACTTACTAAGGACAGTCACTCCATGGTCCTGGGAATGTGTGGATAGGGCACGTGGGTGGAAAAGGAGAATGGGGTAGGACTGAAGATTCTGGATCAGTGGTCTATTTATAGACCAGTGCACAGCTGGGGACACAGTCCAGTGGTGGAGTGGTTGCATGTGCTAAAGGCCTAGACTCAATCCCCAATACTGTTACCAAAATAATAGCTCAGGTGAAGATCCTGTCACCAGAAGAGTCTTTCTCTGTGTGGCTCTGGATGTCGTGGAACTTGCTTTGTAGACCAGGTTGGCCTCGAATTCAGAGATCCTCCTGCCTCTGCCTCCCAAGTGATGGAATTAAAGGCACACACCATCACCAACTGGATTTTTTTAAAGTTCACTGAGACAGTCTCATGTCATCCAGGTTGGCTCCAAACTTCCTATGTAGCCAAGGATGACCTTAAACTACTGATCCTCTTGCTTCTATGTCCTAAGCACTGTGACAATGGATGTGCACCACCCCATGTGGCTCATCACAGGGTCTTTGTAAGACAGGGACGCAGGAGTCATGGGCACAGTGATATAGGGTGGAAAGATGCAACTAGTCCCAGCCACCCTCAAACAGAGGGACTGTGCCAGCCCCTATAAGCTAGAAAAGCAAGCAAGCTGGGTCTGGAGCCTCTCCAAAGGCCTGCTCCAGTGACACTGATCTGAGCCCAGACCCCGAGTGCTGGGGAACAAGTCTCAAGCTGCTGAGTCTGTGGCCCTGATTGCAGTACCAGGAGTGCAGTTGGAATGGGTGAGCCACTGACCCACTGACCAAGTACACAGAGCCCCAGAACAGGACCAGTGTGACCTGGCCAGGAAACAGCCGAGGGCAGAGAAGATCAATAACCCTTGGCTGGTTAAAGCTAGGAAAGGGCCTGGTATGTCCAAGGACCAGGTCTCGACAACCCTGACTGACTCTGGCCTTTGTCCTGCTTAAAGCCCCTTCTGGCTCCACCCCAGAAAGTCCAAACTCCTCAGCCTGGAGTTCACAGCCCTCCTGGACAGCCCCATCCAAAAGAACTTTCCCCAGAGTGTTTTGAAATTTGTGACCCTGTGACAGAGGATCTGAAGTCGACCTCCCTGCCTGCCTTTTCTCTCCCTCCCTATTCTTTTTTTTTTTTTTTTTTTTGAGTGTGTGTGTGGGGTAAGGTCTCACAATGCACCTTATGTGCTCTAATGCTTAGCAATCCTCCTGCCTCTATCTTCATGAACAGGGCCATATTCCACTATTCCTTCATATTAAATGGCCACCTGTGGCAACCACAATGGCTGGTACCTGAGGACCCAGAGCCCTTCCCTGTAAGCAGCCATAGGCTACTCCCGCCACTGGCTTTTGCCCCCACCACCCCCTTCCCTCGGGCTTGATCCCTTAACGGCTCTGCTCCATTCCCACCTTCACCATGGAGCCTTGAAGGGGCCTCCAGGTTTTGGGTGACTTGATGAGAACAGCATTCCTCCCCCACCCCCACCCTGTGCCTCCCGAGTTGTACGGAAACCACACTGGCAATGCCACACTGGAACCTGGGAAGCCGGCACATGCTATGAGTGCCCATGCCTCCAGCTCAAGCCCAGAGGAACACCCGACATGATGGCGCAGAGCAAGCTGGGAGGCAGCGCAGAGTGGCAGAGTTCCAACTCCTGCCTCCTGGCAGCACAGAGCCATCTGGGAGAGAGCTATTTCTTAGCAGACCTCTGGTGGAAGGGCCCCACTCACCTCTTCCCAGACCCTAGGCCAGGGTCATCGGAGAGAAAGAGCACAAGCTGAACTAGACAGAACCTGAGCTGGAGCCTCCTGAGAGAACAACTGTGCCAAACAAAGTCTTTATTAAACTCATGTGTGCACACGTGTACACACGCATATAGGTGTGTACACTCAGGCCTGGGGCACCACTCCATAGAGTTGATGGGGGAGTAACTTCTGCTTTTCATTACAACTGTAGATCCACCGGGGCCGGACAAACGCCAGGGAAGGGTTGTCCATCAGGGCCTGGGGGAGAGGGGTTCACATGGGATAGAGTATCACAGGACAGAGGCAACTCGAAAGTGGGCTGGGGTTCCCCATCTCTGCCCCCAGCCCGACCCAGGGCTCACCTCCTCAAAGGTGGGGTCCCACTCCTGGGCTGTGATAACGAACTGGACACGGTCGCTCATGTAGTCCTCAAGCTCGCTGTGGGGGAGGAGGTAGGGGGGAGGGCTGTGAGCGGCCTGCCCACACTCTCGGGAGTGTCGCACTGTCCGCTAAAGCACCGCCTTTCCCTTGTCTCTCTTGCTGAGATCGGTATTAAAAGTATCTTTAAAGCCCAACTCTGCTTGAGGAGGACACCATGGCACAGTGGCCTTCAACACAGACATAGATGTTCTCCATTGCAGTGGGCACTGTCTTATCTCTGCCTTTTCTTTCTCTTTCTTTCCTGCTTTTTTTTTGGAGCCTGGCATACAGCTTGACCTCTGCCCCCTGGAGCTGCCGGTCCCTCACACAGCAGCCCCGACAAGTCACACAAGCAATGCCCACAGTGCTAACCCTCTCAGAAGGGTGGACGAAGAGCAGTCCTCCAGGGCCACCTGTAGTAAAAGGAGTGGCGGTCCACTTCCCACCACCCGGCTCCCGGCCACCTGGCTAGCTTATACCCCGAAATAACAACACACAAATTGTATTCATTTAAACACTACCTGGCCCATTAGCTCTAGCCTCTTTTTTTAAAAAACTGTTTTATGATGTTCTTTTTTAAAATATTTATTTATTATGTACACAATATTCTGTCTGTGTGTATGTCTACAGGGTAGAAGAGGGCACCAGACCCCATTACAGATGGTTGTGAGCCACCATGTGGACGCTGGGAATTGAACTCAGGACCTTTGGAAGAGCAGGCAATGCTCTTAACCTCTGAGCCATCTCTCCAGCCCAAGCTCTAGCCTCTTATTGGATAACTCTCACATCTTGATTCAACCCATTTCTAATAATCTGTATGTCACCACGAAGTCGTGGCTTACTGGGAAAGATTTAGCATGTCTAACCTGGCAGCTAGCTCCATGGCGGCTCTCTGTCTCTGCCTCCTCTCTCCTAGCATTCTGTTCTGTCTACTCTGCCTATCTAAGCTGCTGTCCTATCAAAAGGCCAAGGCAGTCTCTTTATTTAACCAATGAAAGCAACACATAGAAAGAAGACCCTCCTACACCATTTCCCCTTTTTCTGTTTAAACAAAATGGAAGACTTTAACATAGTAAAATTACATATAACAAAACAGTTATCAAGCAAGAATTAGTTACATTATTTATATCTATTTTATCTTCTATCATAACAAAGAAAAACTATAACTATCCATTCTTTAACTCCATCAAAGACTCCAGAAAAATATAATATTACCTAAGTAAACAAGAAGTAAGCAACTTCCAAAACTCTAGAAATGACGTGAGAGTTAGCCAATAAGAGGCTAGAGCTAATGGGCCAGGCAGTGATTAAATGAATACAATTTGTGTGTTGTTATTTTGGGGTATAAGCTAGCCAGGTGGCCAGGAGGTGGGAGACGGGAAGCAGCCCGCAGCTCCCTTTACTACACCACGCGGCACAGTGGACAGGGTTCACCCCGTTGGGCACACTCACATCATCATCCTACAGCCCACATCCTCTAGTCAAGTTGCCAGCTTGCCCGTGGACCCACCACCAACCCACAACTGACCCATTGAAAGCGGTCACATATCGGATGAGCTTCCTCCTCTCGTCCCCAGGGAACTCCCCATACAGGAAGAAGTGCTTGCCCTGGAAGAAGTCTGTGGGAGAGATGAGAAAACAAAACATGAGGCCCTAAATCCCAGGCATTGACCAGGACTGCTGAGTACTTGGGAGCAGAGAGGAAGGTGGAGGTGCCTAGTCGAGGATGAGGTGCTCACAGAGTGGGAACCGAGACTAGGAAATTCTCATCTAGCCCCAAGCAAGCCAGCAGAGAGAAGCTGAGACACACAGCCACAGTGTCCTTACGGTCAGGCCACAGCCACCTCGCTGGCTTGGCCCAGGGTGGCCCAGAGGCAGCCACACTTCACTTCAGCTGTTTTTCTGGCCTCTGAGCTGATTTCCTTTCCATCTTCACGTGACTTCCCAGGTCACTCACTCACTGTCCTCATTCTAGGAGCTTTGGGGGTTCAGAGTACTTTCCCTTACAGTGACTCAACCTCCCCTTTTCTTCTCTCCTGCCCTCCTACCGCTCCTTCCTTTTTCTTTTTTTTTCCAGATTTACTTATTTACTATGTATATAGTGTTCTGCATGCCTGTATGCCAGAAGAGGGCACCAGATCTCATTATAGGTACCTGGAAAACACCATGTGGTTGCTGGGAATTGAACTCATGACCTCTGAAAGAATAGCTAGTGTTCTTAACCTTTGAGCCATCTCTCCAGCCCTACCCCCTCCCCTTCCTTTTACAAAGGTCTTAGTAGTCCAGGTTGGTCTGGGCTCCTGAGTGCTGGAATTCAGGCATATGCTACCATACCCAGTTCTCCTATTCTTGACTCCAGGAGGGTCAGATACCCTTCCACACCCTGCAGTTTTTCCTGTCTTCTGGCTCTATCTTCAAAGTTCTCTAGCTGAGTGCTAAACAGTGTGCCCAGCTCTCAGATGCCATGAGCAGCAGCACAGTCAGGAGAGCTGAGTTTGGTGGCAGGGTTGGGAGTCTTGAGTTCGCTCAGATTGGAGGATCACCACACAGTAAGGTCACACTGGTGAGAGCAGGAAGCTTTCGGCAGCAGCAGGTGATGAGGGAGCCCCTGGAAGGGGAGCACTAAGGCAGGGAGTCAGGGAGCAGGTGGGGTAGGACACAGCAGTGACACGCAGAAGTCAGGGATCCCCAACCTGGCAGCTCTGGAATTGGCAGGTCAGCCTCGTTGTCTGTATTCTCGTCTGTGGAGCCAGCATACGGGTCCTCGCCATTCTCCCCTGGAGCTGGGGGCTGCTTCTGCTCCCTCTGCTTGGCCACCCTGGAAGGTCAAGGGTTGTGAAGGGTGAGCACTCAGGGAGCAGATACCTACACCCAAGGCTAGGCCGCACCTACCCAACCCAGCCTACCTCCTCAGCTCATCCTCCGTGTCCCCGGAATCTTCCGCCCCATTGTCCTGTCCTTCTGCCAGTAGCAACTCAGTCAACAAGCTTGTTTTCTGGAAGTCTGGTAGCAGCCTCAGGATGGCACCCGAGAACACAGCCAGGGATGGTGAACTCAACCTCAGCTGCCCTCTCCTTCAACCCATTCATCTGGATACAGCCCTTCCCCCCTCAGATCCAGAAATCTATACCCAAGCCCTTCTCCCCCAGACCCAGGAGTTCAGCCCCACCCCTCCTCCCTCAGACCCAGGGCTCCACACCCCAATCCTCCTCCCTCAGACTCAGGGTTCCAGACCCCAATCCTCCTCCCTCAGAACCAGGGCTCCAGGCCCAGCCCTCCTCCCTCAGACCCAGGCTCCAGACCCACCTCTCCTCCCCACAGAAATAGAATACTGACCTCCCCCTCACTCAAACTCTAACCTGACTGTTCCCCCTCAGTGTCACTATTGTCCTGGGGTCCTGGTGAGGGTGCTTTGGTCTCTTTTGGAGTTGGTGGTCTTTTTGGTGAGCTGGGTCCTGCTGCCTGGGTCTTGGCTTTGGCCTGGGGCCGCTGAGGAAGGAGGGCTGGGTGAGTTCAGGGGCAGTGTGAGGCTGTGGACAACCAGGAGGGGGCAGAAGCGGGAGGCCGAGGTAGCACAGCCTGGACAGCTCCCAGCAGACCTCCTGGACTGGTAGGGGCATCAGACCTTATGGGGAAGCTTGGGAGTTTCATCTTCAGCGCTCTCACTGTGAGAATCCCCCTCGTCCTCACTGCTGGAGCCAAGACCTGCCATGAGGTACCTAGGGGAGAAACCGGCCTTAGGCACAGAATAAGAAAGAACTGGGGGGGGGGCAGTAGGAATCCACTGTCCCTGCCCCCTCCCCAGCACCAGAGGGGTCCACAGCATGCCAGGCAGCTCAGCCACCCACAGACTCTTTCCCTCTTGGGGAAGATCTGTCCCATTGAGAGAGGACAGAGGAATGGGAGCCGGTCTTCCCTTGGAGACTCAGAGGAGGATGGCGAGCAGTAGGGGAGATCTCAAGTGGAACTCTGAATCTGGGGTCTTTGCACCTGTACACTCAGTCAATCCCAGAGAAAAGCGGTGTCTGCACTAACCATTCACAGACTTGCTAATTACCCGCCAACAACACCGTGTGAGGTCTCACATGGCACCTACACAGTGCTGGTTACAAACCATCTAGAGAGGATTTAGAATGTGAGAGGAGCCTGGCCTGGCGGGCTGTCTGCAATCCTACTACTCGGGAGGCTGAAGCAGGAGGACTGGAAGTGCAAGGCTTGCCTGGGCTACAGAGTGAACTCAAGTTCAGCCTAGGTAACTTAGTGAGACCTCCCTCAAAATAAAACCTGAAAGGAAGACTAGGGATACAGCACAGTGGTAGAGCCCCTGCCTAGAATCCCCCAGTGAGGGGCTGGGGTGTGGCCCAGTGGTAGATCCCCTGCCTAGAATCCCCCAGTGAGGGGCTGGGGTGCGGCCCAGTGGTAGAGTCCTTGTCTAGAATCCGCCAGTGAGGGGTTGGGGTGTGGCTTAGCATTTGCTTAGCATTTGGGAAGCCTTGGGTTCAGTTCAGGTTCAGTTCCTAGCAACACACACACACACACACACACACACACACACACACACACGTGTGAGGCTGGAGAAATGGTTCAATGGTTAAAGTTTGTACTGCTCACAGAGGACCCAAGTTTGATTTCCAGCACTCACATTCGGTGGCTCACAACTGCCTCCAGTTTTAAGGGATCTGACACCATTGGCCTCCTCAGGTACCTGAACACACACATGCATACCCCCACACAGATATATAGTCACACACATCATTAAATAGTAATACATTTTTTTAAAGTATGTGGAAAGATATGCACTTTTTATGTAAACACTCTGCGGTTTTATATAAGCAACTTGTGTATATGCATATTTTTAAAGATTTACTTATTTCTATTTTATATGTATCAATGTTTTCCTGCATGTATGGCTGAACATCATATGTGTGCCTGGTGTCCACAATGACTAGAAGAAGTCATCGGATACTCTGAGACTAGAGTTACAGACAGTTGTGGGCACTGGGAATTGAACCCAGGTCCTCTGGGAGAACAACCAGTGCTCTTAACCACTGAACCATCTCTCCAGCCCCAACCATCTTTAGAATTTTGATCCTCAGTATTGTGTGTGTGTGTACATGCATGCATGCATGCGTGTGTGACTCTGTGTGTGTGTGTGTGTGTGCTGAAACCAGGCCTCACTCTGACACACTAGGTAACTATTACACCCTCACATTTGTTCAGGGCAATCACTGCAGCGGTGATCGATGCTGAAGCTAGATATCCCAGGGGCGTGGATACCACACGCAATGTGGAGTCCAAAGCCTCCTTCCTGCCTTGGTCCTGCTGACACAGTATGCCAGGTTGCGCCCTACTTCTGAACACACTTAAGTGACATCCTGTGACCCAAGTCTCGTCCCAGTCCTCAGCCCTTGGATCCGACCGCTCTTCTCCAGCTCAAAAGTCTCCCTTTCTCCTGCTGTAGGTAGTCCAGTGGTCTTCCACTTCCCACAGCATCCTCAGGGGGATGGAAATGGCTGCCTGTCCCTGCTTTTCTGCGGCCTTCCTGAGCTCCCCGAGCTGGGTCCTAACAGTTCTGACACTGGAGTGAGAGACGGTTAGCGGTTAGTGCAGGGCTCAACGTCCAGATCCTCCTTTCAGTGATAGCTCTGCCTGGCACCCAGTGGAGGCTTCATGACCAGTTCTGAACAGCAGCAACCTGCAGTGTCCTTTCCCTTCTATAGAATACAGTTGTCACAGAATCTGTGACCCACCATCTGCCGGCCCTACACCTCTCGCTGAAACCAGTTCATGCTGGTGGAGATCATCTGAGCCTGCCTAGCCGGCCCCAGGTTCTGCATCGCCCAGCTCTGGGCTGAGAGTAGGTGTGTGAGCTGCCTGGTTGGGGGCATAGTGAGGCCTTACCTGCGGGAGGGCAGCCGGCGCCGCATCCGGTAGCAGTCCAGCACCCACTCTTTCCGCACAATACGGCCTCCGAGGCCCAGGACCTGACTGTACTTGGGAGTGTTGGCAAAGGCACAGCTGGGGAGTGCAATATAGGGATGTCAGACGTAATCGGACCAACAAATGGGGCAGGTGAGAAAGAAATGGGGCTAAGGGAGGGAGGCAAGAAAGCAGAGAAAGTCAGGCAGCCTCCAGAGAACTAAGGAGACAAAGACAGACACAGAAGAAAGCAGGGAGGGACAGAGTGAAAGCAAGAGGGTGTGCTGGGAAACACAGGGAATGGGGTGGGTGGCACGGAGGGACAGAGGCCTACATGAGATGTGTGCTGTCCGGAGTCCAGTCTGGCCGATACTTGGCCCCCAGCTCCAGGGCTTTGTCCCGCAGCTCTGAGCGGAAGGGGTTTTGGAAGCCACTGAGCACCACCACCACACCCTGGAGAATCTTTCCCAGCTCCTGGGGGCCAGCTCGGGCTACCCTGGGCTCAGAGCCTTCTCCCTGGGGCTTTCCTGGGACCGCCTTCTGTGCTGGGGCAGAGGCTGGGGCTCCAGCTGGGGAGCGACTAGGAACAGGCACTGTGGAGTCAAAGAAGAGAAGTTCAGTGGTATCCCTGGGGCTATGCACCCAGCACCAGCTCCCCACTACCCTTCTTAGATGGCGGAGTCAAGACCCCCAGCCCTTTCCTTATGACACACACAAGCCTGTGTCTCTGCAGACTTAAGGAAGCCAGATTGCTTACGTTTGGGTCTCTTGAGGGCAGGTGGCCCTGCTGAAGGTTTGCTGGGAGGCTTTCTGTCTTCTGGGTTCAAGTCTAGTTTCCTCTTCCCTTTGGGAGACTCCTGAGGTTGAGGAGACAGGGATGGGCTGAGGCTTTTAGCTTTTCTCATTCCCCATACCCCAGTGTCTGATGACCTCACCTTCGATGAGCTACCCAAAGCCTTGGAGACTGGAGAGGCCGGGGAGCCTGCGTTCGAGGCCTGTAGTGTAGCTGCTGCATAGCTGGGTCCCGCTGGGTCGCTAGCAGAGGCTACAGAGGGAGACAGTGAACCGAAGATAAGAAGGCAGGGCCAAAGACACTTCAGCACCTCTCACCAGGTATCCTGTCACTCCCACACCCAGAGGGGACCCAGGGTCTAGACCTTCCTCCTCAGACTCAGCAGGCCAGGCTCCAGCCTTCCTCCCTAGACAGCATCACCCCAGACCCAGGAATCTAGCCACGCCCCTCAGCATTTAGGCTTCCTTTTGTTAAGACAAGTCAGGTACCATTCAGTCTATGCTGAACTCAAACTTTCTTCCTACCCAAGAAGGACCTCCTGCCTCATCTCCTCCCCTGTGCTGAAGCCAGGGCTCCATGCTAAGTGAGCACTCTGTCAGCTCGAGCCCCACGCACCTGAAGACATCTTGTTGATGCGACCGAAGAAGAGAGCCCCTGGTTTTAGGGAATTGGCACTGTCATCCTCCTCTTTCACACGGAACTGGCCGAGCTTGGTCACTGTCACCTTCTAAGATCCCGCAAGGTCAGTGCTGCGGGAAAGCTGCTGGCAGGCAGGGGTGGAGAGGCAGGGAGCAGGCTCTGGGGGTAACAGGTGCTGCTTACCTGGGATGGAGCCTCCACCTCCTCTTTGTCTGGAGGGCTGTGAAACCTCACAAAACTCAGGCCATAGGGTGAGTCCTGGAATGGGAAGATTCTGGGTAGGACAGAGCTAGGCTCTCATGTCCCTTCAAGGAAGGAAGCCCTTGCTAGCTCAGCTGTAGCAGGTGCCCAGGGAGGTGACTGTGATGATAACATTAAACCTCACTGAGCCCTAACTGTAGACAAGATCAGGGCTCAGCCCTCGGCCTGCAGTGCCTCTTTCACCTTCACTGTAAATGGAAGTCAGGTTGTGGGCAGCGAGTCCACTTCCGCATGCTCTATCTCTGTCTGGAGCCACTTCTGGGATGCAGAACTGCTCAGGGCTCTTGGCTCCTCTGTTGTCTGGATGCAGAACTAGAAGGTAGGCACCTGAGTTCCGGGCTCCAGTGTGATGGTGACAGAGATTAAACACTAATGGGCCTCCATTCACCTTCTAACACTCCCTCCAGAGAACTAAGGTGCTTGTCACTGGAGGACCTCAAACCTCTGGGAACAGAGATCACAATCCGACAGGGGCAGCAGCTTTCCACTACTCCCAGCTCTCCAGACTCAAGATGGGCTCCTCGGGCACCCCCTTCCCTGGACCGTTTCTCTGCTTCTGCACTAAGGTACCTTGCTGTATGGCTGGCTGCACACAATTTTAACACGATCCCAGCGCTTCTCTGCTGCAGCCCGGACTAACTTGTCAGGTCCAAAGAAACGAACGCGGTTGGGGTTTGAGCCACTTCGACTCTCAGAAGGGGACATGAAAGAGGAGGTGACCAGAAGGACCTAGGTAGGAGACAACATCATGAGTGAGGAACAGAGCTAGATGACAATACGGAGGACCACATGCCCTAAGGAATCCCAGCAGAAGAGTCTCAGTGAAAGGCACAGGATTCAAACGCTCTCTGGAAAATGCATGGCTGAGCCAGCTCAAAGGCCGGGAGAATTACAGGATGCCAAAAATAAGAGACCCAAATCCCAAGATGGAGAGAGCAGCGCCAATTATTAAGTGATGTTTCCCTGCCCACAACACAGGCAGGGGTGGCCCTGTGCAGTCAGCTTGGGTGGCAAACATCTCTGAAGACCAGCTGTGCCTTACTAGGCTCTGCCAAGAGGGGGAGCTAGAGAGGCTGCAAGCTGCAGGTGATGGGCGTTCTACTCCCTATCCTTAAGCCACACCAGATGAACCCAGCTTGCAGCATCCTATGCTAACCCCTCTCTCGGTGACACACCTGCTCTTTAGGATGTGTTTCAGCCCCATGGCCCCTCTACACTGTGACAGACGTGTCCATCCTTCCAACCTGCCTTCTATTCCTCACTCCAGGGGTGACTGCCTGCCTTTTCTTCATCAGACCCCAATCTTACAGTAACAGTAGGTAACTACATTCTTACATTAAATTCTGTCCACAAAAATAATGGGCATGGCCTCTGGCTCCAGGTCATGGCAGGGCTACCACAGAGGCAAGAACATGGGCATCCCCATCTGAACTACTTCATGAAGCCTTGTTTTGAAAAATAAACAAGCCAAGTTGGGCGATGGTGGTACACCCCTTTAATCCTAGTACTTAGGAGGCAGAGGCAGGGGGAATCTTTGAGTTTGAGACCAGCCTGGTCTACAGAGTGAGTTCCAGAAGAGCCAAAGCTACACAGAGCAACCCGGTCCCAAAAAACAAACAAACATAGATTTCAAGGAAATACATGCAGCTACAGATTTATTGATGAAGGAACAAATGACAATCAAAATTGGTCAACTAGGTCTGAACAAAGAGAGAGCTATGTGCCCAACACAATGGACTAAATCCAGATTTTAGTCCAAGCAAGCCCACCTTTCTGCCAATGGCTGGACCATGATACAGCTCTGACCAATCAGACAAAACACAAAGGTTGCTCAAGGGTTCTGGGAAAGACTTTTCTTCTTAAAGAGAGGTGACAGCCAGGTGGGGGGGGGGGGGGGGGGGGGGGGGGGGGGGACGCAGCCCTGTAATTCTAGTACAGGAGGCTGAGGTAAGAAGCTCACAAGATCAAGAAGGTCTGAGCTACACAGTGAGGGGAAACGGGGAGGGTGTGGCTCAGCTGGTGTTTGCCTCAGACAGGCAGCTGGAGTGAAATCACTTGTACAACAGAAAACTGGATGTGGTCCTAACACTTGGAATCTGAGGTGGAGGCAGGAGGTTCAGAGGGCAAGGTCACCCTTAAACATAGCTAAGTTCAAAGTCAGCGAAGGAGCGGGTTGGGGAGCCAGGAGTGGGACATACCCCTCTAAACCTGGCACCGGCACTTGGGGTGTTGGCAGCATGTCAGTGTTCAAGGCCAGGCTTAGTAGCACAATAAGTTTGGGACAAACCTGGGCTACAAAAGACCTTTATTCAAAAAAATCACGGGGAGGGACAGAGGACGCAGGGAGCGGGAAGAGGGAAGAGGCATGGGGGGGGGGCAATCCAGGGGATGAGAGTCACGGTATTTCTTCCATGCCATTTCCTGTACCAGCTACTGCCAAAGCTACTAATGCTTGATGGAATGACAGTCACTTCTGACCACTGAGCCAAACACAAAAGAAAGCTATCAATCAAGGCCCCTCCACACACCCAACTGTCAGATAGAAGCTGGGTCTGCCTAAAGTTGGCCTTTCTTCCTAAGGAGAGAACCCATTTGCTTCCTGATCCTGTAAGCAATGTTCAGCTGGTTCTTTGGTTGTTTGTTTGTTTTGTTTTGAATTTCATTTCTTTTCTGACATACTGTAAAATTTAAAATTAAAAATAATTTACTGACGTAAAAGAGACTATAACAATACGCCTCTTGGTGCGCAACTCTGATTAGGGAAAGGAAACAAGGAAGACAGATAATCAGAGTACTCACTGGCCTCCACTCCATCTGTGGGCCAGATTCTGAACTAAACTGGAGGGCTGGATTTCTCACAAAGTGAGGGGATGAGGAAGGGAAATGCAACTGGCAGTAAGAACCGCTACTAACACTCAGTGGCAAGGACCCTCAAACTTCTCTTTCTATTAGCTGGAAAGGGAGATCACTCTGGTTGTCACACTGCCTTTAGGTTTCCAAAGGTAACCTTCTACTCTCTGGTCTGGGCCACCTCCAACTCTGATGAACCTCTTCTGTACAATTTCTTCTACTGGGGATGAAGGCTAAGCCTTCACACACACTGGGCAAGTGCTCTCCACCACTGAACCATGCCCCCAGCAGCTCACTGGGGGATTCTAGGCAGGAGAGCTACCACTGAGACTACATCCCTAGTCCAAGGGTTATTTCCAACCCTGTACTCTATGGCTATGAGAGGCAGATGACAAAGGAACTACAGGCACAAGCACACAGAAACGGCAGTGTCGCCGGGACACTCTTGGCTCCCACTGAAGACATCTAAGCAAGCACTCCACCACAGATCTATAGTTTCAACGCCATCCCCATTTTTCTTTTGTTTTTAATTTTGAAACTTTTGGCCACGTTGCTCAGGCTGTCCTCAAATACTCTACATAGTAGCCCAAGCTGGCCTTGAAGTTGTAAACATCATCCCTCATCCTCCAGAGTAGCTGGTATTACCACCAAGCCTAGCTCTCTGCACAATCTGGATGGAGGAGGAAAAAGCATGTCAACTTTGCAGGAAATGGTGCTGCGGCTGTGTGCTCTGGACTTGACCTGGAGGAGGAAGCAACCTTGACTGACTATCCTCATCTCCCTGTTTTCTCTTTTCTCTGCTCTTCCAGCTGTCTCTAGTTCCTATGTGGAAACCAAGCATTTTAAGCCTCTGAGCTTCGATTCCGTTGTGACTAGCATTTATCAACCTAAGATTTGAGTACAAGTTCAATTCAAAATTTTGTATTACTATTGTTTTCTCCAGACCCTGAGAAAACAAAGGCCTGCGCTGGCCACACCACCTTCTAGAGGGGCAACACTGAATAAACACTCACACACAAGATGGAACAGTTTAACTAAAAAAAAATGCACCATATTCTATTTTTGCTATTATGAAGTAAATTCTGATCTATGTTTTGCAAAGAGAAGCAGTAATTTTTAAGGATTTATTTTACTTGTAATATGGGTGTGTGGCTGTAGGAGCCTATGGACCCTACAAGTGTGGCAGCACCTGGAGCTGGGGCTACAGATGGCTGTGAGCTGCCTGACACTGGTGCTGAGAACTAGCTCAGGTCCTCTGCAAGGGGAAGAGCAGTACTCTCTCTTAACCACTGACCCGGCTCTTTAGCTTCGCAAAGAACTGTTTTGTACTAATACCAAAATCTACTGACTTACCATATCATTTTGAGAATAAAAAATGGCTTTGGTGCAGGCACCATCATTCTGCAAAATGGATCTTGCAGAGCAGAAAACACAACCTTATTCTTGGCAAATAGGGCGTGACTCAGTGGTAGACTGTTTGTTTAACATGTGGAGGACCCTGCATTCCCATACACACACCAGTGGGCATGTGGCACATGCCTGCAATTCCGTCACTCAGTCGGATGGGGCAGGAGGATCAGGGGTTCAATGCCAGGCTCAGCTGCATAGTGAATACAAAACCAGTCTGGGCTACATGAGACCCTATCTTTAAAAAAAAAGGAGGGGAGTCTCTATTTGTAGCAGGCACAACTCTTGTGGGGTATTCTGATCACATTCTGATGCCTCCAAGGCTGCTAATAAAAATCTGCTTTGAATTAGAGGGTGGAGCTGACCAAAGTTAACCATAGTAGTTTTGGAGGATTGAGGACCGATAGAGACAGGAACTAGTAGGGTAGGGCTAAGAGAGGGTCTCGGCTACTTTTGGATGAAGAAACAAGAGAGAGAGAGGAGGTCACTGTTGCTTCTGCGCTATGTCTCTGATCATTTAGGTTCTTACCCGGATATCTGACTCCCAAGTTTATATTGTTAAAGAATAATTAGATAAACACATCACGCAACTGTCTATGTAGTCTGTGCAGTAAAGACCAAGGCTGGTATGATTGGAACTCTGAAGTCCCAGAACCCTCCCACCATACACACACACACACACACACACACACACACACACACACACACTAATTTTCACAGAAAGAAAACATCTTGTAGAAACTGGCTTAGACTTAGACTTGTCAGTTCTACCAAGGCAAGTTTAATTTTTACCCGCTATCATTTCACTGGTAAACCAGTAAGCTAATACTCTGAGCTATACTGAATTCCACCAGTAAAAACAGGACCTGTGAGGCTTGGTGGACTGGACCTTACAGTCCCAGCTGAGAGAGGCTGAGACAGGGGAACTGCCCGGGCAAAAGGAGAGACCCATCTCAAACAAGTAAAAAGTTAAAGTATCAATCACAAAGAACCATATTTTGTCTCAACTAGACAGGCTACCAGTGGTGATGGACATTGTGGAACCACAGTTCCCAGGCCACCTATGAGAGACTCGGCAACCTGACGAAAGCAGCTTCATGCTCAGGTTGCAACTAGAATTTACAACCAGAGAGCCTCTTGCTGCTATTCAACCTGGCAGCCCAGTCCTTCCCTGACAATCAGCCCCACATCCTGTGCCTACTACCCCCTCAGCACCTGGGACCCTCCAGAAGGTAGACCCTTGGGTAAGCATGGGGGACAGTGATGGAGATATGGGGATGTCAGCGTCTCCCAACCCTGCTTACCTCATAGTCCTGTTCACCAGCTGTGGTCCCTCCAGCCGAGCTGCCCACCAGCACCTCTACAAAGGCTGAGCCGTCGTTCCCAATGTCTATGCTGTGTATCTGCTCCTCCTTCTCCAACTGTGGGGCAGAGAAAGGCCACTGTAAGTTCCACCCTGGCCTGCTTTGGAACAGGGGACAGAAAGAGATGATATCCACCTGGGCTGCCATGTGCCTGGAATGTCACCTATGTGTCAGTGGGGACCAGAACTGAGCAATGTCATTATGTCCCTGATAGGCAGGCTGGGACAGGACATGGAGCAGAATTCACTGAATTAATGCTCACAGCCCATACCCACCATACACTTGCTTCACCAACGCATCTCCATACCCCCACCTCGACCACTGCCTGTCATGGAGCTCTCCTCGGTGGCAATAGCCAAAGGTATAGCTGGGTTGTCATACAAAGGACACATAGAGGTTCCTGAGCAAACTGATGCATGCCAGGGGCTCCTTGGGTTCTGCTTGTCACCAAGTCCTACCCTGGAATTCTAGCTATGTGCCCTTGCTTCCTCATCTATAAACTGAGGGCTCATCAAGTCAAGGATCTGCCCTATAACTAAGTCTCTGGAGGTCACAGCATACAGTAGGCACCCAACAGCTGTCAGCCAGGCATTGTTTTAATACTGGTAACTCCTGTGACCTTACCTTCACTGGAAAAGCTCTGGAGGGCTTGGTGTCGGACTTAGGTCCAGCATTTAGGAGGTGATGGCAGGAGAATCAGTTTTTTTTTGTTTGTTTTTGGAGGTTCTTGTTGATGGTTTTTTTGTTTTGTTTCGTTTTTTGAGACAGGGTTTCTCTGTGTAATCCTGCTGTCCTAGAACTCCCTCTGTAGACCAAGTTGGCCTTGAACTCAGAGATCACCTGCCTCTGTCTCCTGGGGTAAAAGGTGTGCACCACCTTTGCCCAGCAGATGGCTCTTTAAAGTGCAGAAAAGTCTGTCGAGACTGGAGCCATTTTTCTAAGACAGCCTGAAGGCTACCATCCAGGTCAAACATGAGGCTGTAGTTTTTCTTTTTTAAAAGTTTATTTTATCATATGCGCATGAGCAATTTGCCTGGATGTAGTCTCTGTCCATGTGCTTTCTCTAGTCCCTGCAGAGGCCTGAAATGGGTGTCAGATCCTCCAGAACTGGAGCTAGATAGCTGGGAGCTGCCATTTGGGTGCTGATAATCAAACCCTGGCTCTCTAAAAGAACAAGTGCCAATGGCACCCGCCTTTAGCCTTTAACCCCAGCACTGGGCACTCAGGAGGCAGAGACAGGACTCTCTGAGTTCAAGGCCAACCTAGACTACAGAGCAAGTTTCAGGGCAGTCAGGGTTGTTACACAGAAAAACCCTGTCTTACAAAACAAAACAAACAACAACAACAACAAAAAAAAAGGGCAACAAGAGTACTTGTTACTATGAACCAACTCGCTGGCCTGTTTCCATTTTCTGAAATATGGTCACTGTAGTCCATGCTACACAAACCCAAAAGCTGAGACAACAAGCATGGACTACAACAGCTCCATTTTCACACGCTAATTTTTAGTTTTCTTTCAGTGTGTGTGTGTTGGGGGTGGGGATGGGGGACACGACAGACAGGGTCTCATTCTGTGGCCCAAGCACACCTTGGACTTGTGGGGATGCCCCTGGCTCCACTTCCCAGGTGCTGGATTGCAGGTAGGAGCCATTCTGCCTGGCCTGTTTTCCTTTGACTGGAGTGGTTTTGTCAGGTGCTGACCTAGAAAAGCCCCAAGCTTTCTACTGAATCTATTATTTAAGAGCAGGAGCATTACTGGATACTCATTATTCACTGACAGAAAGCTGTTTATGAAGACTCTCACCAAAGGACCTGCGGCTTCAGCCTGAGGGCTGCAGACACAGAAAGGTGTGTGGGTGTAGGCAGTCAGGATCAGCATTTCCGCTGTCCAGTCTGGGCTCTTTTATAGGTCCTAGCACTAAAAGTTATGACAGCCCTCAAAGGTGCCTAGTCCTGGGCTTCAGACGTAATCCAGTTGGTGGAGCATTTGTCTAGCATGCAGGAACCCTGAGTTCGAGCCCCAGTAACACATAAACAGACATGGTGGAGCATGTCTGTAATTTCAGCACTCTGCATGTTGAGTCGCTGAAATGAGAAAACCACATTTTCTCACTCCTACCCAACCTCAGGCGAATACTGAGGTCAGCCTGACCGTCAGGTATGCACAGCGCTCTACAGAGACCAGCACTCATGGGCCATCGCTCTGCATGGTGACACAGCTGTGCCGTAATCTTATTAAAGCAGATGTCCTGTCACGTTTGCTAGCAGCCATCACAGCCATGTTAACAGATGGCTTTACCTTTACAACGCCCTGCTCACTCAGCTCGGGGCCTCTTAGACACGTGATCACGGGAGTGCATGCTCCCAGCCGGAACTCTGGGGCTCAGTAAAAACTTCAAACTTATAAAGAGTTCATCCTGCTCTCCTTCCCTCAGGTGAGAACTTCCCGAAGAGGATCGGAGTTCAAGGTCAGGGCTGCAGAGATAGCTCAATCACCAGAGCTCCTCAAACCCACAGGAAGTTCATAACCTCACATAACCCTAGGTCCCCAAGGACCTGATGCCTCTGCAGGCACCTGCACTAAAATGCACCTAACCCTCAGACCATACTTAAAAATAAAGTCCATCTTTTTCAACTGCCTATCTACTGCCACCTGACACTGACCACCTTTGCCGTTCTAAACCAGGCACTGTTTCTGAGAGGGAGTGTCCTCAGTTGAAAAGGGGAAGTCATGGTGATATCCCTCCCATAGAAAGCTAAGATGCCCCAAAACAAAACCAAGGCCAGCTGGGCCCGTAAGCGCAGCTACTTGGGAGGTGAATCCAGATAGTTCGAGGCCTGCCTGGGCCACAGAGTGCGTTCAAGAGCAGATGGGGTAACTTAGCAAGGCCATGTTTCAAAGAGAGCGGGGCTGGGATGTAGGTCAATGGCAGAGTGTTTGTCTAGCCTACAGGGCCCTGGGCCCAATACCCAGCACCACATAAAACAACAAAGCAAAACTGAGTGCTCACGTCATTAACAGTGGAAACAATGCAAAACCTACTCTTCCACCAGGGCTGCCAATGCAGATGCTGCAATTGCTTCCTCTTCACAGGCGAGCAGCCTCGGGCAGGAAGTGGCTGTGCCACAGCTGTGCAGGCAAAGCCCAGAGAAAGACAGCCAGCTGTCACCCACAGCGCTGTTCCTGGGCCCACAGCACTGCACGCAGAGAGAATGGAGGTCAGCATAGAACCTTCTAGACACTGAGTCCAGCTGACTTCCTGTATGCTCAACCATTCTTCTCCAGTTAAATGACCCATCTCGTATCCAAGAAGGCTGAGGCCTCCAGCTCAGGGCCTTCGCACCAGCCACCCCAGAACCAGAAACTCTCCACATCTTGCCATTGCCCATGCCTTCTTTCTGAGCAAGAGTCAGACGTCAGAGCTTCAGATCAAACAAAGTGGCACCATCACCTCCCATAAGGGTTGTTCTATTCCCAAGTCTGCTTCATCTCTCTCCACAACTACCACTTGGACTCCGGGCTTTTTTATTGTTGCCTTCCCTGCCCCCATGCTGTGGATGTCCGGGGGTCTTGCAAGCACTACAGAGTTCTACCACTTGGGGCTTATATACTTTTTTTTTTTAAACACTGGGTCTCATGTATTCCATAGAGGCCTCAAGCTTCCTATGTAGCCAGCAATGTCCTTGAATGTCTTGATCCTGACTCCCTCTCTTCTGGGTTAATACAGTGCTAGGGATCAAACTCAGTACACGTCCAAGTAGGCTGCACAAATGGCCCCAACCTCATAGCCTATATTTGCATTGTACTTTTCTAATTTTCCTACGTAGACATGATGCATGACGCCAATGAGATGGGCCACAGAAAGTGGGCAAAGCTGAGACAGCTGGTGCAAAAGCTGCCCTGTGTGCAGTAGTTAAAAAGAAAGAGACGGGGACTGGGAAAAGGTATGGTGGGGAACATGCTGGCCTAGCATACAGGAGGCAGTACAGCAGGATGAGGTAGGACAGCCACAAGCTTCAGGCCAGCCTGAGGTAGAGAGTGAGACCCTGTCTCAAATTAAGACTAGGACCAAATATCAGGATAGTGGTACACACCCATAATCTCAGCAGTCTGGAGGCAAGAGGATCACAAGTCAAGGCCAGCCTGAGCTGCCCACAGTGAATGCCTTTCTCAAAAAGTGAAGAGCTGAGGGAATGGCTCAGCAGTAAAGAGCAAGACCCTGGGCTGGAGAGATGGCTCAGAGGTTAAGAGCATTGCCAGCTCTTCCAAAGGTCCTGAGTTCAATTCCCGGCAACCACATGGTGGCTCACAACCATCTGTAATGGGGTCTGGTGCCCTCTTCTGGCCTGCGGACATACATACAGACAGAATATTTGTATACATAATTAATAATAAAAAAAAAAAAGAGCAAGACTCTGTCTCCAAACAAAACAAGGGGCTCTGGAAAGACGTCTCAGTGACTAAGAGCAAAGGCAGCTCTTCCAGAGGGCCTGAGTTGGTGGCTCACAACCAGATAATAGGATCCAACGTCCTCTTCTGGTGTGCAATTGTACATGCAGAAAAGCACCCACATACATTAATACGTAAATCTTAAGAAATAAAAGAATAAAAAAGTTTTAAATATGGAAAAAACACAGCAACTGCAGTAGCTCATGACTTAACTCCCAGCACTTGTAATGCAAAGGCTCAGAGTTGGAGGTCAGCCTGGGCTATACAACGAGACCCTGTCTCAAACAACAATTAACAAAACAAAGTAAGCATGATGTGTTCCAGCATGCCACTGACACTCAGGTGATACTCCAGTGTTCCAACTGGACCTGTCCCAGTACCCCCTCCAGGACAGGCGGGGTCGGCAAAGAGACTGAACTCCCTGGCTGGAAGCAGGTGACCAGCTGGGCACAGAGTAGCCACGGCTGACAAAAGAGGTGTGTGGAGCTGACACAAGGCGAGGGCTGAACTCTATGTAGCAATACCAATGTTGTGTAACAGTGCTCAGAGAACACCCAGGGAAGTAGGAGAGCACACAAGGGTCTACTGTCTTCTCCCTTGTCCCTGC